TCAATTATTCCCCCAAAAAATCCCTACCAAACAAGTTCCTAGTCTTAGCACCTCAGGAGAAATACATAAATTCACTATTGATATGAGCTGAAAGTCAAAATTGAACAAGAAAAATCTACAAAAGATGGAGACAGTTTGGTTCTTCATCCATCCTGTACTTCTTTTTTCAGTCGGATTTCTTTATTAAACTCAGCAACACCCCAGCACTAAGAGATGTAGCCACAAATCCAAGGGAAACCTCAGTAGATACATGGAAACCTGGAGGCCAATTAAATTAAAAGCATAAACTTTGCATGAAGATCAAATATACATGTGAAAGAACCCGTTTTATTGAGGGGACACTTACCAAAGAAATCAAGAATCATTTTGAACCCAATAAATCCCAGAATACCACCGATGGCAGGCTGAAAAAAGTCAAAGAAGTTACATGATAGAAATTGACAAGCGGGAAAAGCAGGCTACTCTCAATTGACTTAAGAACTCAGTGAGAATAAGTATCAAAACACTCTAGTAAATGCAAGAAACTGTTGTTCTTTTTGCTGTTAGCACCAACCTTACAAGGTGAAGGCCCTCTCAATGAGAGCCATCCTTTGGTGCATCCCAATTCTAATTTAGGTTATCTGGGTGAATGAAATGTTACAGTATTTTACTCCACAATCCGCGCAGGGTGCTTAAACTGGCTCTCTATGCACCAGGATCATATGGATTGTAGGGCTAAGACTGAGATTTTGTAATTAGGATAACCCAAAGTAAAATTGCTAAGAACAAATCATACCACCAGCTTTATTTCAACTTTCCAGTTTTCAAGCTCATGTGGATGCACAAGAGGATGGCACTCGTGGAGAGGTTCCATGGTTCACTAAAATTTGAGCTTCTGCAGTTTGACTAGGTCGGGGAGAATAAGAACTTCGAATGAAGTTAGATTATAATAACAGTTTTAATTTTAATAGCCGTACTGAATTATGGAATTTTAGCTTAAGACATATAGTATTTGCATGAGATTATTTGTAGATAAACTGATGTTAAAGTGATGATATTCTTATTTAGCTTGCGCCTTTAGCCGGCTAGTGACCCATTGTGTATATAAGTTTGTCAAGGACTCAGGGTAGGCGAGTTACAGCAAGCAACCTAACTTCAACTAATACATGCAAAATCTCACCTGCAAATACTCCAAATCTGCCATACTCTCAGAATTGAGTGTATAATATGACCTTAAACCTAAAAAAATAAAAAAAGATTATTAATCTTCGATAACGAAAAAGAGATGAATCTTTCAATGAAGCAATTAGCTTTTGCATTTGTTATTTAAAAGAAATTCCAATGATCCAGATAGCAGTCTGGTGGAAGTAGAAAGAATATTCGTCACACAAATCTGAAATGTAAAGTAAAAATGTTCATGGTCCTGGGAAACTCATTATCATTGTTTCAGAACACAACTCAAGAATACGTTTCTTCAATAGAGTGTCTATATGATCATAAATTAATTTTGGAACAGAAAGTAACGGATTAACATCAAATCCACATTGACATCTACTATTATGTTCCGAAATCACATTGACATCTACTATTATGTTCCGAAATCACATTGATATCTACTATTATGTTCCGAAATGTAACTCCTCTAAGCAACACCGTAGAGAGACAAAAAAGAACAATAAAAGGACAAGAATGTACCTAAAATGGCGAAGACATTAGACGTGAAAACTATAAAAGGATCTCGCGTCACACCGAAAACTGCAGGTATAGAATCCACCTGAAAAAGAAATTAAATAGCCAGTGAATATAAAATGTCAAAGCCTAAGTTCTTTAGACGTGCCACAGATACCCAATGAAAATGAAACCTACAGCAAATGCAATATCACTGAGTTCAATAACTGCAACCGTCAAAAGCAAAGGTGTAGCCTGCCCAAAATGTTCGACTCCTGTTAGAAATCAAGTTAATGATCAATTCAAGACAGAGATCTTCATTTAAATATCATATATGTGGTGCTGCATATGATTTAGATCTGTTACAGGTACATTCACATTAGAGATGTAAAATAGGTTGGTTCAGCCGATGAACCACCGACCAGGCGAACCGAGCTTTTGACCTGACTGTTAAAAAAGTCATCATGCCTGTTGGTTTGCATGGCCATATACATGTTTAATTCAGGGTCCTTCCAAAGAGCTAGAAATCAGTGAGAGCATGTTGAGTATAAGCCGAAGTAGTTTTGACAGAGAATTTCTTGGTGTGTATTAACATTTCATAATTAGAGACAGTATTGGTCAACAACTCATGGCATTATTAACTGTCTTTCCATATAAAACTTACCTTCCACATATCATTCTGAACGGTTATAAATTGATTGCCATCATAGTTAGCTGCAAATTTGAGAATATAAAAGTTAAGAATATCTAAAACTTAAAAAGGGCAATCAATAATAAACCCCCCCGCCCCCACAAAAAAAAAAAAGAGGTCTGGTCAATAGCCAGTGCAAGTTTGTCAAAATTCAATACTAGACATGGGGTTTAACTTCCAAACACATGAAGAAAACTCCAAGAGAAAAAGAGAGAAATTTGATTGACGAAGAATGTGATGATGGGATGCTGAAAAGGAAACAATGAACTGAAGTCCAACCAATTTTCCTAAAAAGGTTTCTATTTACAAGTTTGTGGAGATAGCACTGAATTGATGAAAGTACAAGATTGTAATGGTTTCATATATTTTTGCCTTTCACTTTTCAAGAGCTACATATGTAATATATATCATTGTGCTACCACAAACAGAAACTTCCAAAAGTAAGTATAGGAGTCATATCATATCTGGAATTACCTCTTCAAAACTGACATGTACAGTACCAATTGAACTCAAAAACTTCCAAACCAGCAAACAAGTATGGAAAGAGTACCACTCTAGGTTGCGTGTTAATTGTGTTTTTTAAGTGTGTTTGTGAGTGAGAGTGACAGGTGAGAGAACATTACAAGCGACGGGGATGAATTTCTGACATGTCTTTACTATGAAGTTATCTGACAGATCAGCATCTTCTTCTCCTTCAGCAAATAACTAGGATAAAAAAAGTACAACCATTATGCACAAAACATCCACTTAAAAAAGTGTTCTAATTTTCTTCAGCGAATAACTAAGATAAAGAATCCAACCATATTCTAACATCCCCCAATATCAACAAAGCACGCTCAAAAAGAAAAGTAATAGGAGTTAGGCAAGCATAGAAAGAACAGAATAAAATACTTTCATGCAACGAGAGGATGAATCGAGGTAGACATTCATGACCCTAACTTGTAATTCCTACAGATTTTTCTATTTCTATATAAAGCAGTTTAGGGAGGTCAAACATCAAGAAGAAATCTGAATTTGAATCGGCATAAATCTCAACTAAACTATCTAACTTTTTGCTTTTTGCACAGAGCAATGAGTATATATGACATAAATGGTACAAAAGTTACCATGGCAGCAGTACAGAAAGATCGAGCCATTATCCTTAATAAGATTGATGATTAGGAAGGTACTAATTAAAGAACCACACAACTCAAAAAGCTATTTACTATAGCATTATATTCATTTTTCAGAAGGTTTTTTTAAAAGCATGCATTGCAGTCAAATCACTCCAAAATCGCATTTGTACAAACAGAATACAAACATTTAACTTTTACATTAGACGTGACCAGCCTAGAAACTAGACCAACAAGTTGGAAATAAATATTTTCTTTCCTCATGTCTGAATTTAAATAATGCTTGAGCATCCACAAATTTGGTATATTGAATCTCCAATAATCTCTCAGAATGTAGCCGAGATTTGAGGAGACAAGATGCCAACAAAAGAAACAGACACTGTAACAGCTTCAATTGATTACATGTGCTCAGGAGAGGAATATCACCTTGAATGATGAGTAGAGTAGTATCACCGCCAGGAGTAGGTTAACTGCCTCGAACCTCTAAACATATCATGAGAAAACAATTGCTTGAACATGTGCAATTAAAGAAAGCAAAGGTGAAATGGTTTGAATGTGTACAAGGATATGATAATCAATTCATTTTTGGATCTATCTATATGTACGAGCATGCAACATGCATATACACGCACAGCACAGTACGGAAGTTACCTGAAGCGTCACAGTGCCAAGAAGTATCAACGTCATTCGGAAGATTATTGCACCAGCAATTCCATAAGAGAGAACCCGATTCTGTTCTCCAGTCATGACATGGATTTCCACCAACGAATGAGATAAATGATAGTTAAAAGTTAAAACATCAGCATCTATTTTTTAAAGTCAAATTTACAGCACAAAATGCTGAAATTATACGCTGTATTAAAGCTTGATGCTACACCTGATATGTAAGTGGCACTTTAAAATACTTGAATATTAAAACAAAGACAAAAAGATTGTCCACTGATAAACTCTGCTCCAGTAGGTACCTGAAAACACAAAAATTAACACAATCACACACATATCAGACCAGAACTGAAGATGGAATATCAGATTTCATTCGAGTACATTAATCAACTAGGAAACCAAAAGTAATAAGAACAACCAAACACAGCATAAGTATAAACTCATAAACCACGAATTGTACATAAATCCGGCTTTCACCTTTGCAAGGATGATAAAAAATCCCATCATCAACTAAAGAAAGATTAAGTTCTCAAATGCAACAGAAATACATTTAGACAAAGAACTACTGATCACAAGGGAAAAATGATAAATTTAGGCAAACAGAAATCAGACTATTCCCTCTTTATTTTCAAATCAATAAACATGGTAGGGAACTTCCTAACAACACCCCCCCTCCCCCCCACCACCATAAAAAAAGGGGGTTTAGGTGGAGAAGCAGAAATCCCGCCGAAGCTTTAATTGTGTTTTACTGAAAAAAGGACATTAAAATTTTTATTAATGCAAATAAACCAAATGATTCCCTCTACTAATATCTTCTTATGTAGAACAGCACACATTGTATTTATCACACTGACCTCACTAGAGCTTAACTGTTCAAACTTCTATCTGCCTTTAAGGAAAAATAGTAATGTGTCAGAATGCCAGAAGCAACTACTGCTTAAATAACATGTATGGTGCCACAGAAACACAACTTCATACAAAAATATAGTATGCTGGTGGGCGGTTCATGCTCATACCCAGTAAAAAACTCGGATGCCTTGCCAACTCCGTCTTTGAATCCCAATCCAACACCAAATGCCACAGCTGAGAACACCTACAACAGTGATTCACTATATTGACTTCAATTTAGGGCATTCACCAATAGAAAGTGAAAATCAAGATGTAATTATAAATATGAGATCAAAGTACATACGCATAAGGCTACAGTTCTCAGTGAAGAGGCATATTCTACACTCTTCTGAGCTTTCTCCTCTGAATTACTCATGGAAGAGACATTGTCTGAGCAATCAATGTCATTGACACCATCATGTGATGGAGAAATTGATATCTCTCTCTCTGCAAAATTAGTTCACCTATCATGACACTCTTTACATACGACATGCCAGCATTTGTCCTCATTTCACATAAAGTACATAATTCTTGATCGTACATTTCTGATAATTTTCAAAATTTTTATATCGGTCACCGATAAGTTTGACAAAGAAAACATTGAGCAAAAGTTTGGCCATGACGGAAAGATGATGAATGAATCTCCAAACTAATGTAAGGGAAGCATTTTAAATTTTACAAGCTATTACTTTTTAATTATTTTGATTTGATGTTCAACTATATCAGGGAAAAAAAAAATCAAATTTGAGTTTTGATTTCATAGTGCTAAAAAGTGAAGTAATCAATGGTTATGGTCTCCATTCTCTGCTTCAGATTCCCCCCAAAATCCAAGATCGAATTCCATGGTATCAATACTGACAAAATAGATGATCGGACAATCCAATGCAAGAAAATAATAAGCATTCGTGAAGAAAATTACTACCAAATACAGAATATGCAGTGATCCCAATGGAAACCAACCATTCAATTTATGAATCAGTAATGCAGTAAATGCAACGGAAATGGGACATTCAATTTATGAATCTATACAGAGCTCCAATCAAACAGTTTATAGATTAACGCTGAAAGTTAAAATCTACATACATATCAATACCGGGATCACCGTGAGCAGTCAAAGGGGTTAATTTACCAATATACAGCCCTCCAATAACAGCTCACCCTCCAAAATTAAATGAATGAACGAACAACTCTCTAATTCAACATTGTTACCTGAAGCAGACGATTCTTGCTCCTGCTCGGTTTTTCTTGCGCAGGCAATTGTTGAATAACTATACTTCCGATCACAACTGCAAACACCTATAAACAACGCATCCACAAAATGTAAAAACAGAAAGCCTTCAAATATTATTTTTAAAAAATAAAGCCTTAAAATATTTAAAAAAAATACTATCGTTACCTGAATAAAGGGGGTAAGAGCAACGAAGAGAGAATTGAACTCGAGCATTTTTGGGGCATGAAATTGTTGAAGTTTTGTCCAAATTAAAGTGGTGAGTGAATGGAGTTCGAACTGTATTATTGTGAAGTGTGGGAGCCAATTTCATGGCTTAGATTTGTTGGACTGTAATCTGTGGTATTTGGTTTGGACTGGTTCGAGGGAGACGACGGGTGACTCTAAACACAATTGGCTACAAATCTCAGTTATCGTTTTAGGAAGGTATAATCGTCAATGCATTCAATTTTTTTAATTTTATTTTTGGATAATTATTCACACCACATTTAACCTCAATTTTAGCTTCTTTTTAAATTTATGTCTTAATTTTTTTGTTATATTTTTAGGGTTAATTTCACAAATGTTCACTGAAGTTACATGAAAATAACAAAACGGTCACTGAAGTTTCGAAGTTTCAAAGTTTCAGAAATGGTCGCTGAAGTTTGAAATTTCTTTCACAAACGGTCACTGAATTTTCAGATTTTTTGGGCAAGTTTGAGACAATTTTTCGACAGCTTCCGACCACCAAAATCATAGATTTCGGATACTGTTGGAAAGCCCACAATGTCCTCTTCAACTACCAAAAAAAATCTCCCCAAATTTCCAAGTGATTCGGCTGGAATAAACCCGCGAAGTCGGCACCCGAAAATTATGAAAATCTGCCC